GAGGAGCGAAGTTCACCTGGGAACCGCACAGGTAGATCTCACTATACACAATATATACTATATATATATTTTTTGTCTTTTGTTTCATAGTAAATACTGTGTTGTCTTTGATTCTAGGCAACAACGGTCAGATCCAGTTGTGGCAGTTCCTTCTGGAGCTCCTGACAGACAAGGATGCAAGGGACTGCATCTCCTGGGTGGGAGAGGAGGGAGAGTTCAAACTCAACCAGCCGGAGCTTGTGGCGCAGAAATGGGGACAGCGGAAGAACAAGCCCACCATGAACTATGAGAAACTCAGCAGAGCCCTCAGGTTTGTTTGGGTTTTTTGTTTCCCTTTTTTTTTTTTTAAAGGGGAAGTTATTATTTTATTATCTCGCGTTCATTTGGGTAAAAATGTTTTTTATCAGTTCAGCAAAGCCTCTAGAAACAGTGCAACCTACACTTCTTATAATGCATCTCAGCAGCAGCAGCTTTCCTTTCAGTTTCTGTGGTTGAAAAAGCGCCCCAGTCCTTCAAACTCTTATCATGTAACGTGAATAACTTAAAGATTTGGCCAAGAAGATGAAAAAAGGATAACACAGCTTGTTCGGCTGTTCACAATTCATTTGTCTTTTAGAGTTGTATCACACATAACAGGATAACAGTTAATGTGTAAAAACATTGCCTTGCCCCTTGAACAAGTGCATTGGTGTTAAAGTCTTTCTATGTGATTTTTCACACTTAAATATAGAAATCAAGAATATCCTCTGAAAATAACTCTGTGAGTCATGACTGTCTACAATGGGTGTAACACCCGAGTCCCACTGTCTGTGATGTTTTCAGAGGCTGAAGTATATACATACATGCACACAAACAGGATCATATGAACATGCACTAATGGAGAGATGTCAGAGTGATGGAACTGCCCTCCTGAGCTGAGCTCAAGGGCACCTCGGCAGTGCTCAGAAGGTGATCTGGCACCTCTCCAGCTACCAGACCAACTTCCAAACTTGGTCCGCACTGGGACTTGAACCGTCGACCCTCCGGTTCCCAACCCAAGTCCCTACAGACTGAGCTACTGTCGCTAGCATTACAGCATAACACAACAGCATGCTCAAGGGCGACATCTGCTGGATCAAAAAATATCATATAAAGCCTTCAAGTGTCATGTTCTCAAAGGACATTGAATTTGTAGTGTTGGGATAATGATATTATCCTGTTTATGTACTCTTCAACTGTAGGATTCCAGATACTGACCTCTACATTCTTGTTTAGGTATTACTACGATGGGGACATGATCAGCAAGGTGCAGGGCAAGCGCTTTGTCTACAAGTTTGTGTGCGACCTGAGAACTCTGATTGGCTACAGTGCTGCCGAGCTCAACAACCTGGTGACAGAGTGTGAACAGAAGAAGCTGGCTCGTATGCAGATGCACGGCATCGGTCAGCCCATCACTACAGTGACCCTGGCCACCACGACACTAGACAAAGACAGTTAAACGGGGGCGTTCCTTTGCAGTGCTCTCCAGCTCCCACAGGCCAACTGTTCTCCACCACTGCTGGGAAAAAAACAAATCAACTTCCTTTTTTCTTCATTTTAAAAACAGCTGCGACCTTTGGGCACAGAAATGCAAGACTGATCATTGTGGATTAACAACATTGTTGTCTTTACAGTTTGATTCATCTAAGGCAGGTTTTTTTTTTTTTATATAGCTTTCCTTTAACTCTAACCAAGAGGAGAGGCGCGTTCAGGACAAAAGGATAAATGCCAGTGTGATTTTTTGAGCAACGCTGTTGTGTGCATGTGATTGAATGCTTGAATGAGTGACTGAAAAAAACCCAACTTATGAGCTTTGTGTAATGTGTTCCTTGTCTTAAGTTAGGATAGTTTTCCACTGTATATACCGGAACCATGTTTTTGATAGCCGCAAGGACAAGTGTATTTTCATATTTTCCATTTATAGAGAACCTGTTTTGTATTTTATTTAGTGTTTTTTCCCTGAATTGTTGGACCTTTTTTGTCCACTAGGGGGAATAAAGTGGTAAGAATTTTTCTTAACATTTAAAAAATGCAGTCTCCTTGCTTAAGCTTTAAAAGTGTAAATATACAGGTGTAGCTCATATCATTAGAGTACCATGAACAAGTTACAACTGTTTCTGTTATTTATTTCAAAAAGTGAAGCTTTCATATAGTCTCGATTCCTTTGACATAAAGTGAAATATTTGGGGCGTGGCATGGAGGCAATCAGCCTGTGGCATTGCTGAGGTGTTATGGAGGTCCAGGTTGCTTTGATAGCAGCAATTAGCTCATCTTTGTTGTTGGGTCTGGTATCTCTTTATCTTCCTTGACGGTGATCCAGAGCTTCTCTGTGTGCTTCAGGGCAGAAGTCTAGTGTAAAATTTCCACTCAGTGATTTGGGGTGCCATGTCATCTGCTGGTGTTTGTCTACTGTGTTGTTTCCAGTCCAGAGCCAACGCAGCAGTCTACCTGGAAATATAAAGGCTTTATGGACATGGCCCCTGCCCACAATACCAAAACTACCAGTAACTAGTTTGCCCCCTGCCCAATTGTGCTTGCGAACTCACCTGACCTGAACCCCAGTATGGGTATTGTCAGGAGTCAGATGAAAGACACCAGACCCAACGATACAGACGACCTGAAGGCCTCTATCAAAGCAACCTGGGCTTCCATAACAACTCGGCATGCCACAGGCTGCAGGCTGATAACATCTATGCGGCACCACATTAAAGCAATTGTTCGTTCAAAATGAGCCCGACCAAGTATTGAATGAACATACTTTTCATAAGGGTCGACATTTCTATGTTATTGGTCAGATGTCATATTCTAACATTTTGATATCCTGGATTTTTTTAATATTAAAAGCTGTAAAAAGAAAAACAAAAAGCTTACAAAGATTTCCCTTCATGTCTTATGAATCTACAATATAAAATGTTTCACTTATGAGGTAAATTACAGGAATAGAAAAACTTTCCACCATATAATTATATGAGCTGCACCTGTCTGTATGTCTTCAGTGCCTTATATGTCACCATAAAGAATTCCAAAAATGACAAACATAAGAAACGTGGGTACATTCAAAATTTTATTCATGGTATAGTGAGTGTAGAAAGCATTTTTCTTATTCTTCAGCAAATGTTTCATTTAACTACACATAGAGGAAAAGTAGCTGAATCAATGAAAGAATTACACTTTTAACACTAGCATCAAAAGATACCCCGATTGAGCATAATTACAAATTTGAAAACATTCACCTGATTAAGAGCTTCAATTGTGTCTGTACCTGTGTTGATGTAAAGAGGTGATATGTGTTGTATTTCTATGGTATAAATGCAAAAATTATGCATGTCACATTCATGTTTACAGGAGGTGGCTTTTAAATGATTTTAAGGGATGTGTGTCTCTATGCTGGATGTTTTCTCACTGATGATGGTCATTCTTCACATCTTCATGAGGACAAGCGAATCTTCCAAGACAAGAAATGCAGGCAAAGAAAAAAAAATCCACCACGGGGACGAACAGAAACACTGTACATGTATACACAGAAAATGTAGAAAAATAGAAATGTGTATGAGATTTGGTGAAGGAATGTGCATGTAGATGTGGCCTCTTAGAAGAATTTCTGTTGGCCCCGATAAGTGCTGCATTATACAACATTGCTGACACAGCCAGAAAGAGCACATAAACAAGACAAAAGGGGGAAAAAAGAGGTGAAGCTTGACAAGGAAAATGGGCCATTGAAGGTCAGATCTCCATCTGCTAAATATTTACAATCAGGAGAGACTGGAATGATACGTTCAGAAAACCTCTTCTCTATAGTTTCACTTATATTCTCATTCTAATAAAACACAAAATGCAGCGGTATAGCAACATCAGGGACTTGACAGCAATAATATTTGGTGATAATAATCAAGACTTCCAGAATGACAGAGTGCATAGAACGCAAACAGTAACGGAAATATCTTCCTTTCAGATACTATTTCACTTCATATATTACATAAAAGAGCATTTTGCCCATGCAGCTAACACAACAGTGAAGCGTGGAGATGAGCATAACAAGCCGAGAGTCAAAGTTAAAGCAATTCCGTGTGAACAAAGCAGACCAGATTCTGAATACTCTTTTTCTTCTTCATATCACAAGGTCACAAAGAAGTCACTAGAAATGTACAATCCTGCTAAAATAATCTAGTAGGAGGACCACTCCTGAGGACCTCAACATACAGTTCACTGTATCTGTCTTCAATATTGCCATGCACTACATATACTTACAGCTAATCTCTGTCTTTATATATTACACATAAAAAAAAATCAGACGACAAAACATTCAATGTTTTTCAATTTACATATTTTGATCATGGATATTTTTTCTGCTTTTTTTTCCTTTTTTGAAAAACAAACCTGAAACAGGTGGGTTTGAATCATGCGTAGAGGCGCTCTGAGTGGCCTTCCTCCCACTGCCAGCTCTAAGAGCTCATCGAACACAGTACAGCTGTCATTGGAGAGCGGAGCAGCAGGATGACAGGAGCAGAAACAGCAAAATGGAACAAACAATTTGAGCGAAAAAAAGAGTGAAACCAGAACTTAAACGGGTTTATATGTTTTGCTTGTTAGTCTTTTTTTTTTCCTTCACTGCAAGCGCAGTACTGTGGTTACTTCATATACAGTGGGTACAGAAAGTATTCAGAATCTTTACATTTTTCACTTTGTTTCATTGCAGCCATTTGCTAAAATTCAAAAAAGTTCATTTTATTTCTCATTAATGTACACTCAGCACCCCATCAGCACAGTGCATGTCAGAGAAAATGAGAATCATGAGGTCGAAGGAACTGCCCAAGGAGCTCAGAGACAGAATTGTGGCAAGGTACAGATCTGGCCAAGGTTACAAAAGATTACTGTGAGCTGTAAGGTCTTATATAGACAGGTGTGTGCCTTTCCTAATCAAGTCCAATCAGTTTAATTAAACACAGCTGGACTCCAATGAAGGAGCAGAACCATCTCAAGGAGGATCAGAAGAAATGGACAGCATGTGAGTTAAATATGAGTGTCACAGCAAAGGGTCTGAATACTTATGACCATGTGATATTTCAGTTTTTCTTTTTTAATAATTTGCAAAAATTTCTACATTTCTGTTTTTTTTCTGTGAAGATGGGGTGCTGAGTGTACATTAATGAGAAATAAAATGAACTTTTTTGATTTTAGCAAATGGCTGCAGTGAAACAAAGAGTGAAAAATGTAAAGGGGTCTGAATACTTTCCGTACCCACTGTAAATCTCAAGTGGGCTGTTTTCAAAACTGCCTACTACAAACTAACTGTCAAACAGCAGTGTGTATATGACTGCCAGTCGGTGGATATTTTGCAGTATGTCAGGCCGAGCCGAGCTGGTTTCCGGTCTTGGAATGATTATTTTCCATTTCGATTGTTGCTTTCGATTGTTGCTATCCATCATTTCGATCTCTGATCTAGCGCTTTGAATTGTGTCAAAACATTTGGGCCAAATCGTACACACTACGAGTATAGTAGGCGGTTTAGAAAACAGCCAGGGTGTTCAGACGCTGATGTTTTGCGGTGATTGTGCAGGTGATACGGGGCACCCTTGTCAGACCAATTGCAGGTAAATTTAAGACCAACAGGATTTCTTTGTAAATTCAAGGGATCTGGGATTGGGAAGGTTGTGTTCCATTTCATTTTCCTTTGTCCCAAACCTCCATGACCCAAATCTTTTGCTTACTAAGGGACCAGGATGTAACAGACCTTACGAGTGTGAGTGGGGTTTGGATACATTGGAAAAAAAAATGTTGATAAGGAGTTTCTTAGTTCTGAATCTGCTCAAAGAATTTGTAGGTTGGGTTCTCGTAGCCGTTCTGCTGCATCTTGGCCAGATGGCGCTCCTCTGGTGTCACTGCTGCATCCACCTGCAAACCCAGATGAAGAAGATTAGATCCACAAATACTGTTAATAAATATAAATAAACAACATGTGGACGGGTGTTTTACCTCAATAACCCCGTGGTGAATAGACGTATACTGTTTCTTCCTCAGCATAACCAAGGTAATGACGATGACAGTTGCTATGACAACCCCTCCGACCATAAGTCCAATAATGGCTCCTTTATTGGACCCCACATCCTCAGCGAAGAACACCTGCCATTCAAACACAAAAATAAAACTTTTTGTCTGCACAGACCAATCAATGCCTTGTGGAAAAAAAAAAAGTGTATTGTGTCGTCAGGGTTTTGATTTTAACGGTGTTCATACCAGTTTCTGATGGTAGACTTCATATCCAGTGCTTTGCCTCTCTTCAGTCTCCATCCGCACCTCAGGCATCTCCTCCGGCTTCAGGGCAGACACTGAAAACAAACGCAGCATTCACAAAGTCTGTAATAATAATCATAATTATATAATAATCAACAGTTGTTAGTGGATGAGCAGGATTTAAAATGATTTACATTTATATCATTATATAATATACATACATTCAACTTCAAAAGGATGATAAAGCAGTCAGCACATTAGGCAGAGCTCAAAAATATACAACATGTGTACGTTTAATGACACAGGCAAAAAAAACAAAAAAAGTTAAGTGACTTAAAGGATCTCATGCTAGGATAGATTAATGCAAACGTATTACTGATTAAACAGCTCAATGTGCATTGAGAATGTGGATAAGGGAACTTTCAGAGCGTATTGGCTTAGAGAGACTAACGTACATTGCTAAAGGCAAACGGAGAGGTTTTGTCCAGCTCTGGGAACCTTATGAACATTGAAGAAGTCAGGAGTATAGACTTCACCTGAACAGAAATTATAAAATGTTGTCATGCATAGCAGGAAGGTTTCAATTCATTTTAAGTCTGTTTCCCCCTGCTGGTCATTTAAGGTTTTTGCTCTTTATTTGTCACTGTATTTTCTGATTGGTCATTTTAAGTCATGTGACTCAGTTAAGAGGCTTCATTTATTCTGCATGTGGTCGGCCTGCAGCACAAGCCAGCTTTTTCTTTCCTTCCTTCCTGTGTGCCTTGGAAAGCATCCCTTGTAAGTTTATTCGCAAGAACAGATCTTTATATCTATACGTACAAACTATTTGATGCATTTTGTATAGTTTAAAGACAGATCATTTACAAGCCAAAAATGCTAATGTTTAAGATAGCATCCTTTAATTGGTGCTTGTTTTATTTTGTATTTTTCAGTTTTACAATGAAAGAAGCTTCAAGAATATGATGACAACAGTAAAGCATTTTGAATCTACTCCAGCCAAGCTATCTGTCAATTTGTGTACAGACACACACATCGAGGACAGAATAAATGTATTTTATTTTTTTATATCTAAAAATGTGTGCAAGTTGAGTGTGGGCATGTGAGTTTGTGTAATTTGTCGATACATGTAATGGGTTTAAGGTCTGAAACTGTTTAACTGTTGCTGTATGTTTCCTTTGTGTTTAGAAAAAATGCCAATAAAAATATTGGAAAAGAAACTAGCTTAATGTTTGTCAAATGTAGAGCTGTATTCTAACTCAGTCCTGTGTGAAGTCAAAGTGAAATGAACATAAACCCCAACTCACCAGGTCGTGTGGGGAGTCCTCTATCTGGAACTGGACGAGCATCTACAGGCTCAACTGCAGAACGAACAAATTCAAAACATGCATCATTATCTAGCAGCCCCTCAGTGCCTCACATTCAGTCTGAGGGAAACTAGATTTACATTATTAAAACAAAGCTTCAGGAGGGAGGGACGGAGAGTCAAAGGACAGAGGTTGTCTGATTGACTCATTTTATGAACAAGTATCTTTGTCGATGATATGTGTGTTACCGTGGTTCTCTGTGTTGGGCTGGTTGAAGCTCTCAGGGTGGATGAAGCCCAGTCCGTCCAGACCCGGGTCCATAGGAGCGGAGCTGTAGGCCTGATCTGGCATCAGAGCGTCGTTACCATAACTCACCCTGCCGTCCACCTGCAAACACACAGAGCAATATTAACCTGGACAATCAGCAGTGGGTTCATTTGAAATGAAAAATCCAATCCTGAAGATTATCCTCTAAAATGTGAAAATGTAAAACCACCAGCAGGACTTCAGCTTGGTGATTTATTCATGTGCCCAATAGAGAACAAACCATATGACGTATTTTTGTAGGCTAACCCTGAAGTAGCATCTCCATGAGGTCTAATGAGAATCCTCCTCTGGGATGTTTTCATTGGATTTTGGATCATTAATAAATAATCTCTGTGTTAAACACACGTTTCTGAAGCGTAGGCGTTTTGTTCAGCAGGATTATCTTCACAGATGAACGCCATTTTTATGATGTTTGAAGCGTTAATGCGGCCGACAGAAGTAAAAAGCTAACGTTATGCTACAAGCTAACGACACCACGGTGGGATGATTGTGACATCACTAGCGTTATGCTTCAGACGATCTCCGATAAACTAATCCACGTAGCTTAATAAATAGTTTACTAACATAATATTCACCTGAACCTAAAGATTAAACCTACAGGAGACATCTCCGACTAGTGAGAGAGTTCCCGCCCTCTGTGTCCGGCGTGATGACCTTTAATGTCCCCGACAACCACTGTGGTCACATTTAGCCGCTTGTTAGCAACCGCCTTTTTAAAGACGAGTAAAAACTTCAAACTTCACAAGTGGAGGTATTACCTAACGTAGTTTATGTGCTCTAACAAAACACCAACATCTCTTCAGCTTGTGTTAACCACAGACCTTATTTCAGGAGTCTAACCACAAACACATTCAAAATGCCCGTTGACTTTTAGACGTTAGACCCCATGGCGCTAACATGCTAACTTACTTCCTGGTTTTAGGACTCATTCCTGTGGCGCTCTATAGCCCAAAAATCCCACAGTCTAAATCTTCACCCAGTGTTTTCCTGGGAGATCTTTTCATGTTTCAGATGAATCAGTTTGATGACTTTCCTTCAATTTATCTGATTCAGCTGATCACACAGCTTTCTGTTGACTCAAGCGTCTTTCAAACAAACTGAAAATATCAAATGTAATCGATGCTTTTTAGGTTCTACCTGCTATGTTGTTACTGCGTTAAATCCACCAATTACCAATGCAGTATCTAAATGTCCTTCTGTGCAAGACCATGTTGAGTGTGACTTTGTCTCGATGAATGTGTGGCAGAGCAGATTCTATTTATACACTGAAGAGTGTGCAGTTCACACAGGACAAACTTCATGCATAATGTGAGTGGGTGCAAATCGACTCACCCTGCCATCGCTCTGCAAAGAGGAGACTTGCTGAGACAGCTCTGACTGAACTCTCTGCACTATGACAGCTAGGGGGAAAGAAGAAGGAGAGCTTTAGAGACAGAGAGAGACATATCATGATGATAGATGAGAGGAGGATAGGTGGGATGGAGATACACTTTTTAAAAAAGGCATGCAAGGTAAGGTCCATACAGCGTCCTGATTACTGAAGACAAACTGACAGGAGGGTTTCTGTGTGTTGTCAGCACACCATGCATCAATGGATCCCTTGTTTTCACCCTAACTCAACACTACAATACGTTGTAGGGCTGGATGGTTCCACAGCTTGTGGAAAGTGGTCAAATGTCAACATGTCCCAATGTTAGAGCATCTCTCGTTTCACTGAGCAGCTCGCTGAATCTTACTCTAAAATTCAGAAATGATAACAAGACGCATGTTCAATGTCTTTTTAAGTTAACTTTTTGGACATTCTGATGAAGGGAGCAGCACTTCTTTGAAAGGGCCATACTTGTGATCCCAAATCACCCACTTCACAGTGAGTTTGACCTTTGACCCTCAGGTCATCGTTTTAGAGCTCCTGTCAGGAAGACTAAAAGACTCCAGGTCTCATTTTTAAAAAGAGCAAATAATATGTTAAACAACAATTAGCTATTTGTTGCTCTTTTTGCACATTTGCACACCTCCACTTTGCACTTTAATAACTTGAATTTCCATTCTGGTCCGGGCTCTTGTCTGATTATATTGCACTGTTTTTATTTTTATTTTATATTTTGCTGTGTTGTCTGATTTTCCAATTCGTTTTGGTTTATGTTTCATGGTGATGTTGTCTTTGTGTTTCTTGTCTTCTGTGTGCTCCTGTTGCAATGCACATTTCCCCTTGTGGGACAATAAAGAATCTGAATCTGAATCAATCAGATATTATATAAACCAAAGAGTCCATCATATTCAAGAAAACACTGACACAATTACAATATTTTCAGCGTGAATATTTTTTTTTAGCTGGGTCGGATTCTAACCCGCGGTGTGCTTCTGAACATGGGGTGCACGTACTAACCACTAGGCCACTGGCGCCCATGAACATTTTTAAAAGGGTCAAATTAAAATGAAAACAGTATAGAATAATGATGCTGTAACGTTCATTAGCATGCTATACACATGAAAAGTCTTTCTACCCAACTGATGGTGCAGATGTTTAAGGTTCATACTTAATGAGGTCAACACTTACAGACTTGGTTTTGGATCTCATTGAACACACTTGGTACTTTGTAGAGCAGACCGAGCGACTGATTCATCCTCTCATCGATCACACGGAGGTGGGTCAAAACCTAAAGAAACAAGTTCCTGTTCAGTTCTGAAACAATCATCTTTGAAACATTCAAGTTGAAGCCACAGTTGGTAATAAAGGAATAACAAGCATTTTATCAGAACAAACGTTTGCTTTTCTTTAAAGTGTTTGGACGTTGTGTTTGGAGTTCAGTACCTGAGGTCGGATCTGCGCAGCTTTCTTTGGGTCGACGGTGCGGACGTGTTCGTAGTGTTTCAGCGTGTGCTGCCTGTCCTTCTGCTCTGCACGGGCGTACTTCTTTAGCAGAATCAACACCTGACGAGCCTGGTGGTGTCAGTGTTGTACGATGTTAGTGGAGTTATTGCCATTTGAAGAAAAATAAAATAATAATAATAATAATTTTTGATGTGACGTCTCCATTGACCCCATGACGTTCTATAACCGCTCTTCTTGTTAACAGATCAGAGGTGTGTGTGTAGACATGTGTCTGCTTCCTGTGTGTGTGTGTGTGTGTGTGTGTGTGTGTGTATACCTGTGGAGGGTTGGCCTGCAGGGCACTAAGGTAGTTTTCCAGAGCCAGGCGTCGGCGGCTGTTGAGCAGAGCCTCGACCCGCGCCATGTGGGTCTCCACCAGCTGCTGCCTCTCTCCTTCTGCCTCGCGCTCCAGAGCCTCCACCTTTTCTTGGAAATGCTGCAAATGGGGCACATTTTACAGATCAGACAATAACAGACATGAACAACGTTTCTTAATACTATAATATGATCCTGATTTGTGATGATCAAAGCTACACAGTGTATGGGCTGTAACCAGCAGATCACAAGCTGGCAAAAAAAAAAGTCTGATGCTCTAAATGCCACTTGTTGTCCTTCATCTTCAGTATCAACAAACATCCTCTGCCTCCTGATCCAACATTGCTTATGGAGGAGTAGGTGACAGACTAATACCGCTCTACTGCTGCATTTCTTGCAAAAAAGTCTGTACCCCTCACTATGAAACAAATAAAATCACAGCTACATTTACACTGCTGAAGTTTGAAGGACCACATTAGTATTCCTCTCCCACAACTTCCGATCATGACAAAGAGTGTATGACACCTACAAAAAAACGCAATGGAGGTCATGGTGGGTTTCCTACCTGGATCACAGCTTTCTTGTCAGCGCGAGAAAGGCTCTTGGCCTGCCTCTCAGCCTCTTCCCACTCCCTCATCACCTGCACATGACGGAGGAAAAGCAACCTTTACATCCGGAGGATTTTAGCTTGTGTCACAATTTTGTAACTTAAGAGAGTATAAACCTTGAGGTTATAGATCAGGTACTTAAAGGCTTTATATGCGATTTTTTGATCCAGCAGATGTCGCCCTTGAGCACCAGCATGAAACCAAAACAACTCTCGCTGCATTGTTGTGTTAGCATGCTAATGCTAGCGATCTTTATTATGCTGGTATCTTCACACTGCATGTAAATTTAACTGAAATGAGCGTGATCTAGAAACACAGTTAAGCAGTGAGTACAGTATGTTATTCTTCTTTTCTCTAGTCCCTCAATTAAACAACTTTTATACACGAGGGGAGGAGTCAGCCGGCCGTCCTGGCGATGTAAACAAAGTGAAGATAGGACTCTGAAAACTCTGAAAACATCACAGACAGTGGGACTCGGGTGTTACACCCATTGTAGACAGTCATGACTCACAGAGTTATTTTCAGAGGATATATTTGATTTCTATTATAAACTTTATAGTATAAACTTTGAGGTTATAATTTAGGTACTTAAAACCAGACACACAAACTAACCTCGGACATCATTTCGCGGTGTTTGGCCTCCAGGCTTTCCTTGGCCTTTTGGAAGTTAGGGTGTTCGTTGTCGTCCCCAGGAGCTTCGAGGTACTGATCCACGGCATTGGGGGGACTGGGGGCCATGGTGGGCACTGGAGAGGAACAAGAGAGAGGAGTCAAAATGCTTGGCAGGGAAGATGAGAGTATAATGTGAAGGGAAAGATTTAAACGTTTAGAGGATGCATAAGGAGAAAAAACACACTGATCCTAAAGGTATCTGAAACACAAAACATTGCAAAGAGACAGAAACAGATTTCAGTGTTTCAGCTCAAGACATAAAGACGACACATGTAAGAGGTTAGATACACACTAACACAAATAAGAGTGTTAAGACTAAACAGGTTATCAGGGGACAAAGGCTGATCAGTTTCCAAGCACAAATTGCTGTTTGTATGTCTTTATATATAATGTGGGAGCCTGGAGATAAGATGAACAATGCTGAGTCAGGATCAGGGTAGAAGCTGCACCATCGTGAATGTGATGCTTCACTGGATGGAAACTGCAAATCAACCCATCAACTTTTGAAAAAACACTCCCCTCACTGAAACCCTGAACTGATTAACCCTCATGCGTCACTATGAACATTTTTGTCCATTTGGTCAAATGTTTCCTCTTCATCTGGCCATCATTTTGTCTGTTAGTACATATGGAACACATTTTTTGTAAGAAAGACTCTCTCTTGACAAATTTTGGAATGCACATTTTCATTTGTTCAATAGAACACTGAGAAACATGTTTACTACCCTCTGAATAATTATCAGGAATTTAACATTATTTCATTTTCTGACATTTAAAGGGTTAAATTCCTAAAAATGATTGAGTGTTTGGTAGTTTTGAGCAGGGCTGAAGATGTTTAAGAGATTTATGCAGAAAAAAGAAACAAATATCAATCTGTTCTATTTTTATATCAGTTTCTTGGGTAGTAAATTAAACTGATGCCTGAGGGTTAAGAAATAATGTTGAAGACATTGTTACAGACCCACAAACAGGCAGGTCAGACTACTACAGAGCAGACACAAGACCCTGCAACTGCAAGGCATGCAAACGTGTATAGAAATGCATGCAGATGCAGACTGACATTCAAAAGTCAGCATTTATACCGCCTCATCCATATTCTATAAGAAAGTATCAGCTGGTGTTAATGGTTAGAAAATGACACGTTGAGAACTAAATGATGATTTGACGATAACTACAGGAGCATCATGGCTGCTTTCAGAGGATTTCTCTTTTCATGATCAGTTGAATTACTAACTGATGATGTAAAATGTCCTGTCTCAGGCTTTTCTAAGAACACTGCTTCTATAATTTACTTATTGTCAACAAGTTAAGGAAAAGATCAAAACCATTATCAAATGTATTCAGCAGCTTTTTAATATACCAAGCCTGATGTAAAGTATCACACCTTATCTGCTATACATGTTTGATTTTGAGTTGTTAAATGAGTTTTCTTTGGGTGGCTTGTGATAAATGGTTTGTCTTGAATTAAACACGATAAAGGTTGAGTTGAAGCCTTCACATTTTCACCGTCTTTCCTATCACACGATTTGATCTAACAGAGATAATAACTACAGCATTTCCAACACAAGCCTAGAAGAGGAGCAGCTTGTCCGTGCACGGAGTGGTAAAGAGCCATTAGACACTCAAGAGAGACAGACAGAGAGGGATTACTGAGAGACAATCTGGAGCAGCCTGAGGACAGGAACCAGGCTGCTTTCTGTTAGCACCACAGACTCTAAGACAGCTCCAGTCCTGAGACTTACACGAGCTGCTGCACACGGCCATGCAGTACTCCTCCGACTCAAAGTTATTCCTGTTTCCCCCACAGCCCCCAAACAAGAAGGGAGCACAGCGGCCCTTCTGAGGTATGAAGTACCAACGCTCCAGCATGGCGTGACACGGGCCTGACACAGCGCGAGCCCAACACACGGCTGAGATATACACACACAGGCAAAATCAAAAAATCAAACAGAAATGAATGTAAAAATGCAAAAAAAGATAAAAGCAAAAACAACAAGACAAAACATGATGAATACAACCAATTAAAAAAAGTGTGTCTTTTTCATACCTCTTACAACTTCCTCAACTGACTCCGTAGTGGTGGTGGTAGTGGTTGTCATGGCGATGTTAGCGCTGCGCTCATCACTATCACGCTCGTCGATCACATCGTCATCATCGTCTTCCTCCTCCTCCTCCTCCTCTTCTTCATCACCATCTCCGTTCTCATCCCTTTCAAAAGCTTCTGCCTCTTCGTCCTCATCTTCATCGTCTTCAGCGGTGGCGGGCTCAGTGTCTGCTGAGCGAGTCATGCTGCGGGAGAAAGCGGTCGGTTTTAGTCCGTGTATCAACAAGTGAGCGTGTCCTGCCTCGCTGGATGATAAACAAGAGTAAGTGACGATACCTGTTGTCAGAGTATTCGGTCTCGGCTCCGCCCCACCAGACGTCTGACTCCTCCCCTTCGAGCTCGACGCTGTCTACCTCTCGCTCCGACTCCGCGGGACAGCAGACGAACTCCACCCCCCGGAAGCGATCGATGCCACACGGCAACAGCATCCCGTAGTCATGGAGATTCATGGAGCGGTCTCCGCAGGACTAATTTCAAAGACAGACACAGTGACTTTTATTCTCACACAGTTTCTTGGGTGAATTTAAAAAAAAAATAAAGTTTTGTTTTCTAAAATGCAACCGCACAGAATTCAATCATTTCCTGAAGTTAGGCTTGTGCGGATATTAAAGCAAACCTTGGTGACTAGAGATAAGAGATTTTTTTTTCTCATAGTCCTCTGCACAGCTCCTACATTTCACCTTTTGTACATTTTGTGTTTTTTTAAATATATTTTACATTTTTGAATTCTATTTTATATATTGTAATATCTTCTTATTCTGTATTATTTAAGTTGTTGTTAGTTCTGCTTTATTTCCTTGTTAATTGTTTCGCACCAATACACCAAGTCACATTCCTTTATGTGTAAATGTACTTGGCAATAAACCCAGATTCTGAATGAGCAATCAGGACAAACATGCATCAGAAATAAGTGGCAGAGAAGTTTGATAGCAGAGTGGGGGGGGGGGCGGGATATAATGAGGAAGTGCTGAAATCTCCACCTGAACACCAGATAAAGAAGGAAAGGAGAAAGTGATTGTATGTCCTCACCTCTTTTGCAACAGTGTGCCAGTGCAGGTGGCTCTCACACTGGTCCATACGCTCCTGGTGCAAGAACTTACACTTGTCAGGAACGAGCAGGGCATCACTCACAAACTCTCCAACTGAAGGGGGGGGGGGGGGAGAGAGAGACACATTTGTTCATTACAAACACACTCAGATATACAGCACACACAAACATGCTCAGTAACAAAGAAGTGTGTCACTCAAAGTGCTCACCCAGACAGCGGTATGGTACGACAATGTGTGTGTGACTGTGGCATAGCTTGCGGCCTTTCTTGCACCAGTTCTGGATGCTGACAGGCTGATTGGCCTCCACAACATTTGTGATTTGCAACTCCGGGTAGACCTGGACAAAAGAGAGACATTTTAAACTGCATTATCTTCCATTTCTCTCTCTCTATCCCTGTCTTTTTTCTCAGTGTGTGCAATGCTGTCTCCGTCTTGTTTGTAATACCTCTTGGCAGTACTGCAGGATGCCCTCCTTGGTGCCGATGCAGCTCTTGGTTCCAGAGGAGTCCGACTCCCATTTGCCACTCTGCACGTTGATGTGCATGTTGAGCTTCCCGCAAAACATGGCCACCTGGGGCTCAGTCAGTAAACCCACAGAGTCATCAGCAGGAACCTGAACAGAGAAAGAGAATAGAGAGGACAACAACGATGAAGAGTGATTTCAATAAGCTGGCTTGAGTATAGCTGATCCATAAACAGATCAGGATATTTTATATGGAGCTTTATGTGTGGTCCTTTGAGTTTAACCTACTTGCTCCACAAGCATCTGTCTCTCTTTGTACCGTGCTGGGATTAGTAAATCATTCAAATAAAGGAATCCTTAAATTTCAGGATTTTAAAGCACATTTAAGTCATTGCAATAAAAAAAAGAGAATATAACTGGTCTTAGCCTTAGTAAGGCAGGATACTCCGTTTCATCCCTTGAGACCATAAGCCAGTGTGCTAAGCATTGCAGCCACATGGCAGAACATGTGCCTTTTTGCATCCCTGGCTTATGAGGTTTAATTCATTTCCTTTATCAGAGATAGTGCAACGAGAGTGTGAGGAAGAAATATAGTCTGAAACAGCAGAGAAGAGAAAAACTTCTCCCACAGGCAACCAAAATCAAAATGTGAGGGATTATGAGTCGCAAACAACCCAGTGTTTCCCCTACCGTTATATTAGGGGGGGCAGCCCGCGCCACTTGAAGGTCGAGTTTTTTTTAAAGATTTTTTGTGCTTTTATTGTAGGGATAGGATAGTGGATAGAGTCGGAATATAAAGTAAGTAGACTCAGGGAAAGAAGTCATTTAAGGATACCTTTCCGATAGAAAAGGACAGCTGACATTAAGTAACCCGTGAACACCCCCCCCCCTCCCCAACGCTGTAAACCTAGGGGAAACACTGAAACCCTTTTGTTTTACTTCAAGTTAACTGCTTTTGGCTTATGTACACTACAATATCACATAGCTGCACAACACGTTCTGTTTTCTTTCCTTTGTATTTTGGAAACAATGGGTGGAAGTCTTGGTATTTTTCACCTCTAGGGCCAACTAGAGCCCTAGAGCGACACTATCTTTCTGGCAAACACTGGAAAAGACAGATGCTGCCAGCTTCCTACTAAACCATCTGCTTTCAATCTTCAAAATGACCAAATTTGACTTAATGCAATGTTTGACTTTTAAAAATATATTAGCAAATGGTGAGTTAAGACAGGATTTTCTTGTTGTTCTTTTCTGCAGAATATACTGCTTTTCAACCTTAGTGGGTCATTGCATAATATTAACCATGATTTATGGATTTTATATGAAATTCCCTTATTTTTTTAACTTCAGTGCCTTGCATAACATGGCAGATCCATCTGGTGCATCCTGTTTGAACCACAGCCGCAAAGTAGGACAAATACAAACTGCAGCACTAAGAAGTTTCAACCAACTCAATGAGTGTTCTGGTGTCACAGGCAAAGACATTTTTAAAAAAGTAAACAGTGTTGTTGTTACATAATAACAATTTATGTGCAGATGTTAGACCAACACATCACTAATCTACAATTCTACAATTCACTTATCAGACTCTTTTATCCAAAGCGACGTACATCAGAGAGTAAGAACAACACAAGCAAGGATCTAGAAAAAAGGGAACAATGTGAGTAAGAGCAAACGATCAGCTTTGAGTCTGATTGGACACACAGGTGCTGACAGGAAGTGACCAGAGGCAAAGCACAACATTGAGGGCAGTTCTTGAGAGCTCTAATCAGTATAGAAACCATCTTATAAGTCGTCGTTATCAAACAGAAACCATCGTCATTACCATCATCATCATCAATAATATGGAGACCATCATCATTAAGTTAGTAGGTATTCATGAAAGAGCTGGGTCTTTAGCTTTTTCTTAAAGGTACAGAGGGACTCTGCAGATCACATGGAGTTTGGAAGTTCATTCCACCACCGGGGGGCGACAGAGGAGAAGAGTAGTCAGCGTCTGAGGACCCTGTTGTGAAGGTTGGATCAGACGCCTTTCATTGGCAGAGCGTAGAGAGAGGAAGGGAGTGTAGACCTGTGTCCTTCAACTCACGTTTCCTTTGAGCACATTTTAGCCACAAGACATATCAAGCCAAGTTCTACCAGTAAGTGGCTCCTGAGCTCATTAGTCTGGGATTACACCGAGTTAACCAGTCTGACCTCGTCCTGCATCAAAGAGAAATCTAGGAAACACTTGTGTGTGTGACTGTAAGGTAGTCTGGCAGAAGGCTGGTGCAAAACTTATCAGATCTAAGTACTGCTGCAGGGACTAAGTGACTTAATAACATTTACGCAAATTGAATACACTGCAGCACAATGGCTGGATTTGACTGGATGACGGGGTTGGCTGGAAGACAATGTAGTTAAGTAAAGTTATTGAACGCCTGACTGAATAATGTGTCCTGCGTAATGCCTCTGTGGAGACATTTTTCACTGCAGCATGAAGGGGTGTTGTTGGGTGGAAAAACTACAGTGGCTGTGATATTATATTGAGCCTGAACGTTAGAAAGCACTGCAATTAGAAACACAAATCAATCCCTTTAATACAATTGTATATTTTTTAAATCAAGCTCATCCCGTTTCCCCGACAGCTCCTAAGCTGTGAGCTTCTCTCTGATCCTGCACATCAGCAGTGCAGGCTGTGGGCGCCATCTTGCTTGTGTCAAACTATAAAGGCTGCATCCTTTTTTTTTTTTTTTTTTTCCATTCTCCTCAGCAACACACACACACACACACACACACACACACACACACACACACACACACACACACACACACACACACACACACACACACACACACACACACACACACACACACACACACGACGCAGCTGCCCAGAAACAGTGAACATTTGCATTGCTAAACAATCATTGTTTGGTGTGTTATTGTGTAAGTACTGCATTAAAAATCCTCCCTGGGCTAAAACCAAAACAAGTCCAACACTGTGGTCCAACTTGGCAACACCAAAGCTGTCAATCACTGACATCTAACGGTAGGCCTCGGTAGCATTTGGTTTGATAATTCTGCGTAGTAAATCTCTGGACACTACAGAACTGACAAATATATGGACTAAAACGAGATTTTTGGTTTTAAAGAATGATGGAAAAAATAATTTAGTTCATTACAACAAAACAGAGGGCCCCTGTAACTGTGAGCTCGGTAAATGCGTGGTTTTTTGGGGTAGCTGCTTTGGTTGTTACTGTCAAACAGTGGAGCGTTATATTTGTCATATTCAGATTCAGACGCGAATATGAGAACATTGAACACAACACAGAGAACATTCTAACCGTTATTCAGATGACGTCATGATTAAATTGCCGCGGTTGGCGCCGTGGTCCTGCGCTCGTGATTTGTGTCGCCGTGTTGTAAGCTAAAGGCCCACACAGAAAAGCGGAGCCTGGGAAAACTCTCCTCTCCTACAGATTTTTTCTCAGCTTGAACTCACCTCGGATGAAAGCGTCAAGGTCGCCACCAGTAACAGCAGAAACGCCGTGTGCTCTCCCATGCCGTCCTCCTGGTATCCAGCACCCCCGTGTTTTTGTTTGCTTTTTATTCCCGTTTGAAAAAACGATGTAAACTCAGCTGGTAATACGTCGAAAACACAACGAGCCCGATCCCCGGTGATCCCTCCCTGTTTAGCTCCCAACTGACGGGCGGCGTTAAGGCTGGAGGAGGAGGGAGGTGTTTGGATTGAATGCGGGGTGTATGGCAAGCCCTTTGAAGAATTAATCTATGGCAAGCCCTTTTAACATTTAAGTATTAGCGGTAATAGCAATTGTAGATATCAATAATTGCTTTTTGACATGTTAGAAATCCAAGCCGACATATCCACAATGTAAATTTTCGCTAGTAACAATTCTAATCAAAGATACCTACAATTCATTTTTCACTAATGGAAATGTAAGAATGTAATTACAGATATCTTGAATTAACATTTCAACATGTCAAAATTTAATTTTGACATGTTGAAATGTAATTTCCACTTGTGAAAACTAAATTGCTACATTTCAACATGTCAAAATTAAATGTTGAAATGTTAATTCAAGATATCTGTAATTACATTCTTACATGTAATAATTCTAGGTCAAGATATCAATAATGTAATTTCGACTAGTAAGAATTGCATTTTAGATATCTAGAATTAATTTATCATATCTGTAATGTTAGAACAATTGTAGATATCATAAATTAACTTTGTCACTAATAAGAATAGAATTGTTGATATCAAGAATTAACATTTTTACTAGTGAGAATTGAGTTGTAGATATCATGAATTAGAATTGTGACATGTCAAAATGTCATTATGGATATGTCGACTTTGAATTACAACATGTAAAAATTGAATTACAGATATCTGTAATTCAATCTGAATAGAAGTCAATGGCACAAGTTGACTAGTTGTAATTAAGTTACAGATATCTACAATGACCATTTCCACTAGTGAAAAATAAACTGTAGATATCTTTGATTAGAATTGATAATAGTGAAAATTACATTGTGGATACATCGGCTTGGAATTCTAACATGTCAAAAAGCAATTATTGATATCTACAATTGCTATTACCGCTAATACTTAAATGTTAAAAGGGCTTGCCATACACGTTGTGACTTGCAGAGAGAGAGACATAAAAAGAGGAAACCAGGACACTTGCTTTCACTTAAACGGAAACTCTTTAACAATTGAAGACAGTAGTGCTGTGATTTCTGATAGCCTATATGTTTTTGGGTTGTGGTTTAAAGTTTAAACCGCAAAGATATATATATTTTTTTAAATCTCATAATAGTTATGCCCACAACACCACACGGAGCATTTTTTATGCCCTAACTTTGTGTAAATTAATTTACCTAATTTAGCAGCACTCCTCGGGATATCTGATTCTTCTGCTTCACTCAAAGTTCGAATCATGAGAATAATTTTGGGACTCTTCATGGTGGCAATGGTCTCAGCAGGTAAGCTTTCATTCACTCTTAAACTATTCAGCAGTGGAAAAACTAAATGTTATTGTGTATTACTGTGAATGTTTGACCCATTGATCGACAGAAAATACGGGCTAAGCTTAAACTCTTTAAATTTAAATTAAGACTTTTCACCCCTGTATTGTAAAGCCTGCCAGTAGGCCTATCGTGTTTTCATATTGATAGGCTATCTGTATAGTTATAGGCTACTTTTGGATGACAAAAACCTACCCCTAGGCTACTTCTCAATGAAAGAAAAACGTATTAGTGTCAATGACGTGACGCTCATTTTTTTGTGTCCATAAGGTTTAGTTAACTTTTAAAGGCTTAACATTTAAAAATAAATGCACAAATGACATGCTTTCATCCTTTGTTTTGAGGACCTAGTCTAAAATGTATATTTATTATACATTTTTAGAGAATAATTGGGGTATTTAGGCAAAAATGTCTAAGTGGTGTAACCATTGAAACTTCGTATCAAAGAATTAAACTTATGTGGTATATGTCCATCATAACTCTAAACACAAACTGTCCTCAGATGAAAATTTGGTCCCTGTAACACTGTTTGAAGATAAAATGCTGCTGGAGAAGTCATGGTGGAGGGGCCCGCAACAGTGAAAGCGTAACTCTCCTGGTAGCTTTATATCTCCAAACATTGTTCCAGGGACCCATTTTTTACTTTGAATAAAGTTTGTGTATTCAGTTCAGAAAATATATCAAAGAATTGTTTCACTTCTCCAACTTTCAAATTTCACTTCCAAATCTACATAGTGCACCTTTAAACATGTATGATCTAATATATGTATGTATGCTGTAATATTGGCACCAGTAGTTGCATTTTAGATGTGTTGGCTATCAGGGGCCATGTGGTAGGTAGTATCAGCATGTCACTACCTGGAGCTTGCTTGCCAAAGTCTGGTACTATAGAAGGTGGCAATGCTGTTTGTGCTGTGATGGCTATGATGTAAAGAAGGAGAGATGTAAAGTGTTGCCTGTGGGTATGTTATCCTTTGATTAGGGCACAAGTACCTTGAGTTTATTCCAAATACTGAAGAAATGAATTCCCCCTGAAGATTTTGGTCAGATGTTGTAATTTACTTAAAATATGAATTAATTAAGGATGCACTGATCCTGACTAAGACAGCTAGATCAGGTATCAGTAAGAATTTGCCGATCTATGAGACCCATCCAAAAGGCCGATCTATTCACTTCAGTTTTATACTATTCTGTGTTTAAGACAAATGTGCTACATTACTGTCATCAGCGTACTGGTATTCTGTGCACTTTGGTAGGTGGAGCAAACATTAAATGGAGGACGCTAACAACAATTTCTTCAAGAAACAATGGCCTTTGACTGTAGAAGCAGTGTGGTCAGTTGGTGTAACTGGTTTGTGTCAATTGGTGTAACCAGTATTTGCAGTGAAATAACATGTTTTTTAACAATTTTTACATAATTTGCCAAAAATTAATTAGAAAACAGAAGTGTTTACAGCTTTGTGCCCCGCTCAGTATTGGAAAAGGGCATAACTTATAAATTTAGGGATAATCCTAATAAAATCTATTTTCTTGTGCTATTTTAAAATGAAGTAATTACAATCATGAGTACGCTTGCATATACTCTAGATGTATAAAAGAATCAATATTCTTAATTTTTCAGTGGTTACACCACTTGACATTTTTAGGTCTATTTAGTCTTACCTTTTGAAAAAAAAGGTTTAAATGTAATTTTAAAAAACACAAAACCAACATGAATACAAATCTCACATTTTAATGAACCTGATGCATGCTTTCAAATTGTGTTTTTAAAAGATTTTTGAATTGGTCATCTGAACAACACTTATTTGTCACTGACCCACTAATGTGTTTGGTGTGAGTGGATTTTGTTGTGTAATATTTTAGCCCTGCTCAAAGGAGTTCAAGATTTGTCAGATGTGTCACATATTGAACTCTTCCAAAGCGGACAACACGTGTTAAACTGATTTAAATTCTACAATCGACAATGAAGGTCAAACAGTGCTGTAAGGATCCGGAAACTAAATAAAACTCCACCCTGCTCTTTAATAAAGATAAAGATAGACTTTATTGACCCACCATGGGGGGAATTTTTCCATTACAACAGCTCAAGAAAACAGGAAACAGGACTATACAGGGGTGCAAATGTGTCACCTTTCGGCGTATTGTCATACTTGATGACTGCATTATGTTCTCTCAGACTCTGCTCTGAGAGCTACTTGCACAGTGACTGTCCTTCACATCACCTCTTAGTGGAACATGGTAAGACCTGTTCTGCAAATTCATCCCATTTATAAAAAGGGACTGAAGGTTGGGAGCATCATGGGGTTCTTAATGTTTCACTGAAACTTTATCAAAAAGTTAAAACAGAACATAGATATCAACAAGCAATTGTGTTTTTCTTATTGTTTGCACTGCTTCTTTAGTCTGAATGCTAAAATCGTCTGTAAATTCACATTTTAAAGCTGATATTTAAAAGAAATCTTCCCGGGGGAGCATGACCCCGGACCCCCCTAGAGGGTTTGGATCCATGTCACCTTTTTCATCCCTGATGAGTTTGCACCCCTGAATATAATAATTAAAAATAACAAGAAGTTAAAAATCAAACATATGTACATCAGTTAAATAAAGGGAGAAAAAAAACAATAATAGAATAATACCAGGTATAATTCATTAATGAACTTTTCCCCCCCTGTCTAGACATTAGGCTATGTTATTGATACTGTTTAGATTTTTACAGTCATCTTGTTTGATGTCATGTTAGCCTTCTTTTTTTTTTTTGGTTTATTCTGTTGCACTTCTGGTGCATGTTGTCAGAAGCGTTTCCTTTGACAATGTTATCACGATTTGTTTAAGTTTAGCCGTCATTCAATAAAAAAAAAACGACTTTTCCTATAAAAATCAATGAATTAGTCACACGTATATGTTTGGTTTGCTGCCAAAGCTGCACGATTGTCTTTCTACAATTCTACAATTCACTTATCAGACGCTTTTATCCAAAGCGACGTACATCAGAGAGTAAGAACAACACAAGCAAGGATCTAGAAAAAAGGGAACAATGTCAGTAAGAGCAAACGATCAGCTTTGAGTCTGATTGGACACACAGGTGCTGACAGGAAGTGACCAGAGGCAAAGCACAACATTGAGGGCAGTTCTTGAGAGCTCTAATCAGTATAGAAACCATCTTATAAGTCGTCGTTATCAAACAAAAACCATCGTCATTACCATCAAGTATCACCCCATCTATCGTTCTCAATGGGGACTTTACAAGCATGAGTCACGCTTGTAATAGTACATATTTAGTAGCAGTTCAATGATTCATGTTTATTTATCGAAGTCTTGTGTAACCTTCTCAGAGGTTTTCCCTTCAAATTCTGCTTCTATGTAAAAGCAAGTTGGGACTGTTACGGAGCCGGAATCTACCACTGTTAGAGAGGGTTTTTTTTGGAACAGTTCAAGCGGAGCTGGCCTTAGATGTGCCTAAACATGCACAGGATACATGGAAAACACACTAAAGAGCATATAAAACCAGAAAAAGCAGAATATGGGCCCTTTAACATGATGGATAAAATCTGTTTCGCTTGTTTTTTTTCGTCGTCTCGTTTTGCTCTGAAGAGAAAACAAAACAAGTTGGCAAACAAAGAAGTGGCTGTGCAGTTGTGTCTGAATGAAATAATTATTTGCAAAGGGTGAGACATACTGAAT